TAAGAGAACGAGCGGTAAGGTTTCGTACCAATTATCGTTTTCGTGTGCTCGGAGAGCACTTTTAAGTTGGCGATGAAACCGTTCGACTAAACCATTCGATGCTGGATGGTAGGCGGTAGTGCGTATGCGTTCCGTACCAAGCAGCCGGGTCAGTGAGGAGAATAATGCGGACTCAAATTGTTGTCCTCGGTCAGTCGTGACAGTTGAGGGACAACCGTACAATGCTATCCATCGTTCTACGAAGCGGTGAGCAATTGTCTCCGCCGTGATAGATGTGATAGGAATAGCTTCGGGCCATCTTGTAAAACGGTCAATGCACATGAGTATGTGATCATACCCATGCGATGGTGGCAATGGTCCTACAATGTCTAGATGAACGTGATCAAAGCGAGCATCAGGCGTAGCGAACGTGCCAATGGGTGCAGCTACGTGCCTGTGCACTTTTGATCGTTGACACTGTAAGCATTGCTTTACCCACATACGAACATCTTTATTCATGGACGGCCAGACGTATCGTGCAGCGATGAGACGTAATGTGGCTGCGATACCTGGATGAGACAATCCATGAAAGGCATCGAAGACGAGACGGCGATATGCAGAGGGTACGATGGGTCGAGGAAGACCGGTAGAAATATCACATAGGATAGTACCTGAGCTAGTAGCTAGGGGTACTTCCTGACACTGAAGGGACGAAGATTGTGGTGCTTCTGTACAGACAGGATCGTTTGCTTGTGCGGCGGCCATAGCAGGAAGATCGAGCACCGGTAAAGTAACTGCATTCGTCTGAATACGTGAAAGAGCATCGGCAACATAGTTCGACTCGCCTTTAATGTGACGAAGGTCTGTCGTGAACTGTGAGATATAGTCCAAATGTCTGCACTCTCGTGGTGAGTAGCGGTCAGACTTGGTATGCAGGGCATACGTTAAGGGCTTATGGTCGGTGAGTAAAATGAATTGGCGTCCTTCTACTGCGTGCCGGAAATGTTTGATGGCGCAATAGGCTGCAAGCAGCTCGCGACCAAAAGCGCTATATCTCGTCTCCGTGGGAGTAAGGCGTCGTGAGAAAAATTCGAGCGGTTGCCAACTACCGGAGATATTCTGTTGCATAACGGCTCCTATAGCAAAATCTGACGCATCAACCACTATACTAAGCGTGGCTGATGGGTCAGGATGAGCGAGAAGTGTAACTTCAGCGAGAGCCGTTTTGATCTCTGAGAATGCAGTACGTACGGTATCGTTCAATTCTAATTTGCGTGGATTACCGCGTAGTAAATCGGTTAATGGTCGTAACCGTTCTGCCGCGTGAGGGATAAAACGTCGGTAGAAGTTAACCAAACCGAGAAAAGCCTTCAGTTCCTTGATTGAGGACGGCACGTTGTACTCCTTGATTGCTCGAATTTTGTCCGCGCAAGGCAGAATACCCTCTTGTTTGATGATGTGACCCAGAAATATTATTTCTGATTTACCCAATTCACATTTCTCTGGGTTGAATACTGTTCCATTATCCGAAAGACGTTGGAATAATAGCGTAAGGTGTTGATAATGTTCATCTACGTTTGATGATGCGATCAGCAGGTCATCAATATAGACGTGAACAAAATCCAAGTCTCGTACTATGCTATCGATAAACCTTTGGAAAGTTTGAGCAGCATTCCGTAATCCAAATGGCATTCGTAGGAACTCAAACAGACCGAACGGAGTCGTGATAGCAGTTTTTTCGATGTCTTCAAGAGCGACTGGGATCTGGTGATATGCTCGTACCAGATCGATTTTAGAAAAGATAGTCGTGCCCTTGAGCGATGCCGTGATGTATGTGGGGGATGGGGTAGCTATCAAAGCGCGTAACTACGTTTAAAGCTCGGTAGTCGCCGCATGGTCTCCAACTAACCCCATCCTTTTTGCGCACCATGTGTAAAGGAGAAGCCCAAGGACTGTGAGAAAGTCGAATAATACCAGTAGATAGTAAATTGTCAAACTCACGTTTAGCGGAAGCTAATTTGCCCGGTGCCAGTCGGCGTGGTCTTGCCGTGACTGGTGGTCCGCGGGTGACTATGTGGTGTACCACACGATTGATCACCGATTAAATCTCCTCGAGTGGTTTAGTTATTCTGGGGAATTTCTCGAATAAAGCGTGGAATTTATCGTCACGCGAATAAAAAGTGCCGAGGATTCGATACGCGTACATCGGAGTCTATTATATTAATATTATTCTTATCGCTATCCGTCATGTCAAATATATTATATATTAAAAATTAATATGAAAATATATGACAGACGTGGATAGATAAAACAATAGACTCACCGAATTGCCTTCTTTGGAAGATTTGACCGAGGTTGAGGCGTGTCCCAATATTTGGCTCACCAAATGTAGCGTGGTGTCGAGTTGAGCTTGACTATGAACACCGCTACAAGAGTACGTGCCAATAGACCAATAAGATTCCGGTAGGCCAAAAATCAGAAGGCAGATGATGGCTGTAGTCGAGATGTATTTGTTGGCGGTCTCGTGGTATCGAAAGAATACCGAGATCTTGCCAAAGCAGTACAAGCGTGGTTACTGAGCGTAACCGAATTCGTACAAGTTCAAAGTCAACGGGAGAGTAAGTATAATGGCTGTCATTAGCACAGTTAAACAAACGAGCACAATAAAACAATCACTGGTACAATTGGTTATAATAATAATTGTTTTCATCGAACCAATCGCATTCTGTTGACAAAAGTAGGTCACTACACGTGCGAGCAGCCTAGAGTCTTGATTGGCCCTGCTTTCCGTCTAACCCAGCCAGTTGAGTCCAGAACACCAATCTCAGCCTCGGCGATATGAATCATGTGTTTCAAACATACTGAGTTCATATACCAATCAAAAAGACAACAACGTACCATAAAATATGAAACAACATTTGTACAAGAATTAGCCAGATGTGGCTGTGAATGAGGGAGCTAGTAATTAATGTACTGGGTATAACTCAAGAATGGTAAAATGTATGATAATAGTTTATGGGTCAAAATAAAGCTTATAATAAGAGGAATATGAATATGCATAATTTAGTTACTTAATAATTATACAACAGAAATATACGTTTAGTATTGGTCCGTAAAGGAAACCCAAAAATTATCATTCATAATTCTTATCGGGATATAACATATATATAGAACATAAACATGATTTTATTCAATAGATTTTGTTTAGCCCTTCAATCATTTTCGCTTTGTTGTTTTAAAACATTTAATAAAAATTCCTGTGTCGATGTGGCGTAAATGAGAACAATATGAGAATTAATAATACTTAGTCAACAAGAGCATCACTAACATTGTGTAAACTACATAAAGTTCGACGTTTATCAAGTTACCACTAAAACAAAACTATGTATTTATTATTACTATTATTTCGTTAGATATGAGGAAAGTTTACGGAAATCACATTTCTGTTTTTCAGATTTGGATTATATATTGTTTAGGTATTGGAAGTCTTACCACTAATTAATTTACACTCTTATGAAGCATCATATTGAAAAGTGTAAAGTACATGTTAAACGGCTACCATACCAGGACTTGGCATCAGTTCGTGTAGTCATTTATTGTTGGTAGATTCAGACTACCTGTTTGGTGTCCATGGTATAACGGAGATCAGTGGATCGAGACTTTGGATCACATGGTTCAAATTCATTCACAATAGCATAGATGCATTCACTTCTTAACTTGTTCTGGATCATAAATTCAAGTATTTCCTAATATATAACTTTTTATTCAATCTTTTAGAACCCTATTCTCAATACCTAATCCTTCATTTTTTTCTACATTATTCCGGTCCTTTTTCGCAATATATCTTGTTAATTTCATTTCGTCATACTAATGCGGTATTGCAATTCTGACTACTGCACTTCTGTTTTCTCTTCTCTTCTCATCAACCCATTTTTGTGTATTGTTTTATACTAGTTAGTAATATTTAGTAAATAGTTATATTCCTAGCGATTTCTAACCCAAGTTTGTCTTGTAATCTAAAATTTTCACATATAACATTTATTATATTTATAATTGTGATTACTTTCTTTCAATCGCTGTAAAAGTCATTTTCCATTTTGTATAGCGGTTTAATTTTTGTTTAAACACAACGGTTTCCATATTTGTCTACTGTAATCAAGATTAAATGACAGCTATCAGCTGTCATTTTCACTATCGTATGTCATAATAATTTTTTATGTTATTATTACAGGAAACCTTTTCTATTTTAGACTTACAGACTCATTAAGCTTAACAGATACCTCACAATTTGAGGTTGGTAACTAATTTATTTTTATTCCTCAATAAAGTATCTCTTTTTAGACAAATTGCTGTTTTATGAACTTCGGTTTCGTGTGTATCTCAATTGTGTAATTAAACGTTTCGATAGATTTAACAACATCTGAAAATATACAGAAACCTGCTATCGGTATGAATATTTGTTAACCGTATCTATCGAACAGTATATATTCTATTGAATTAGATGTTTAGATATTAGGTTTCCTTTTTTTTATTAATACTGAGACAAGTTGATTTCCAAAACCGAATATAAGTTCAAAGATACAAAGAATCTAGCAATTAAAACGCTAACTGTTATCTCAATCAAAATTGTTTACTTGGAGACAAAAAATAAACATTCTTCCTAATTAACGTGTATAATAAAATCTTTATCACATGGTATTTATGATGAAAGCAAAAAGATATTAAATCGCTTTTTTTTTAAAGTATATTTTCAGTATCTAACATGCATAGTTACTTTTAGCACTGTCACGTGAGCATGGACAAGCATGACGATATAGTTCAGGAATGAGAAGAAAATGATTTACAATCAATGTAAAAAACATAATTAATTGATTGCAAGTAGGTTGTAGGCTTCTCAGTTATAATCTATAGTAGTTTCTTGGTATAATGGCAAAACAATGTCATTGTTTGTAAGCTACTAATTATATATATGCAATTATTAATATAAATACTAAATCAAAATGAAATAATTTAACTAGTAATAAATATACTTAATTTGTGATTTGGTTTTTATTTGTGACGGAACAATGTCCAGTTCAACTAAACAAGCGGAGCGAATGCAACAACATGCAATTAAATTATCACTAGAAGCTATGAATCTATTCTCATCTCATGATGATATAGCTGATTATATAGCGAAAATATTCAAGGATACATATTCAGGTTGTTGGGAATGTAAAGTTGGAACAACATTTGGAAGGTATGTCTATAAAGATTTATCTAGTGTATTGATCTGAATAATTAAAAAATAATAATAATGATCATGATCATAATTTTTCTAGTTAGCGTTTTTTCAGAGAGTTAGTTTTTTACGGGATGGGGTCGATAACCACATACCTAACCCTCCTCCTTTATCCGAACTTGGGACCGACAGTAGCTCCAGAGGAGCTCCAGGCGAAGTTGATCGTGTTCATACTAAAAGTTTAAAACTATAGCATGAAATCGGTCTTATAATTATCTGTAGCATTGAAATAACCATTTCGTTACATCATTGAATTAAATATTTAGAGAACTTACACACAATAATATCGTCAGTAAAGATATGAAACGATGGATTACAATTATTGCAAAGTTGTATCATTTATGAAAAGTGCTAACACCGTGTAAAGTAATACTGGCAACCATGGATCACGATGAAACTGTTTCACCATAACTTAAGAATCTTTAACCGTGAATATCCATGAATTATGACTAAACTGTCAAGTCATGGAGCGAACAATACATTCTTGTATCACTTCATCGAAAGTTAGTGGATTATTTTTTTCCATTTCAGATAAGATGTCATTGAGTTTTTGAGTGTTTATTGGATTGTTAGTCGGATAACTGATTACACAATACTTAGATAACTATCATAACACTTAAGAACTTTCACATTGATATCAGTGGGTATAATATCATTAACATCAAATTAAACAGTTTTGCCAGCAGTTCATTGACCTTATAAGATGTATTTTTCATACCAGCTTATCGACGAAAAAAATGACGATCAAATTAACTGTTAATTTTGATAATCTGTCCCTCGAACTGGATGGTTTAGTTACAAACACTTGGTTGTTGTTCCGAACAATTATAATGAGTTCATTTTGGTCTATCATATTAATTAGATTGAATTTCCATTTTGAATGTTTATCATCCGTTTATGTATATTATCATTTATAATGACGTATGGTAATTAAATTAATTGACCTTAGCCATGATGCCGTACAGGTTACTGTAATAATCGTAATATTATCAGGAGGGGTTTTGTTGATATTATAGTAATTTTAGTAGTTGAGATAATGAGTCACACTCACGCTCAATTTCGTGGATTAGTTGAAGTTAGACGTTAACACCGTTGGATGCTGACTGGCTCAGTGGTTTAGAGATTAAGCGTTCGTGCGCGACACTGATAGGTCCTGGATTCAAATCTCACTAGGTGGGATCATGGATGCGCACTGCTAAGGAGTCCCATACTAGGACAAAACGGCCGTCCAATGCTTCCAGATTTTTCATGATGGTTCAGCTTCAATTGACTCATGATGTCAACAACTAAAATCCTAATATTATCTAGTTACTGCATTCTTACAAATGATATATCATATACATCTTTATTAGTTCACAAGTTGCTAGAGCATTATTTATTATTTAATATCAACATACTAATCAATCCAAAACAATATTATTATTATTTTGTTGATCTTTTTTTAAATTTTAGCTTCGATACATGCGATTTAGAATACTGTTTTCGGTATTTTGTTGACCAATTGGCATTCTTATTGTACAAATCATATTAATTTCATTTGAATCTAACTTGTATAAATAATTCGAATTATATTGTACATCCAACCAAATGTATTAAGAAGCATTTTATACTTCCTCATATTATGTATCAATATTGTAAATATCAATTTAAAGTGGAATAAAATTTTCAGTTAATCTGTAGTATTATGTGATACATTTGTATAGTAACTTAATAAAACAATAATATCAGAAGGGGTTTAGTGGATGTTATAGTAATTTCAATAGTTGAGATCATGAGTCAATTGAAGCTAGATCACAATGGAAAACCTGGAAGAATTGGAAGGACGTTTTGTCCTAGTATGGGGCTCCTCAGCAATGTGTATTCACGATCCTGCCCCGCGAGATTCGAACACAAGATCTATCAGTCTCACGCGCGAACGCTTACACTCTCGACTACTGAGCCAACCAATATCCAACGGTGTTAATGTCTTACTTCAAGCAATCCACAAAATTGAGCAACACATACATCATTGTCTTTAGTGAGTAGATATCTCACAACAGACCTGGTTGAACTTCACTGGTCACTACTTATCACTAGAACTCCAGGAAATACCTCTTGGAGACAGTCACTAGTGAGCATATGTTGATTCATATCAGAAGGAGTTTTTGTGGATAGTATGGTAATTTTTTAATAGTTGGGAACATGAGTCAATTAAAGCTAAACCACCATGGAAAACCTGGAAGCATTGGATGGCCCTTTTGTCCTAGTATGAGGCTCCTCAGTAGTGCACCTCCACGAGAGATTTGAACCCAGAACAATAATAATCTATAATAAACATTTCATGATTAAAGGAAGTCAACAGGAAAGGTTTATTATTATAAACATATTTCTTGATTCATAAAGTCAAGACATATTTGTAAATAAAAAAGAAGCGTTTGCTCCAAGAGATATTAGCTGGAAAGTTGTATGGTAAAGTATCTAGAAGTTTAACTATTAGATAATCAGTTTATTCCTTGTAGTTATGATTTATTTTTACAATTTAAACGGTTCTTAGTTAGGTAGTATTTCACATATAATTCTAAACCTCATCATGAAACAAAACATATAGAAAACATGATATTATCCTAGTTTTAAAGTAAACCTTGCTAATGGAGGAAATAAGAATAAATCCAATATCGAAATTGTTCATCTATCTCCGAAAAAGTCATTTGGTGATATTTTCACATGAAGTATATTAGGCGTTATAAATTCTGAAATGTTTAGTGGCTAGCAGTGGAATTGAGGATGCCCATCTCGTCAGCTGGATGTACATGTATCCGAGAGTTGATGCTCCCTCCGGGACTCAAACCCAATACCGTTGGCTTTAAATGTCATCGCAATATCCACTTTGCAAATAAATTCGGATAGCCACTAGCTTTTGCAACGAGGTGAATTTTAATTCATTTTGTATTGGTTAATTGAATCTTCCCATTGATGTTGAGGACTGCAATTGATCAGGCTCTTATTGGCACATGTTCATCCTATGCAGATTGCCTCAATATTGCCTTAAATCACAAGCATTTTAAGCAGAGATGCTTGGTTCATCCAGTTGATGAGTCTCAAATACGACGAAACGCGCATCATTGATTCCACTGCTATCCACCATCCATCTTTGCTTATAATTCTTGTGATTTAAAGGAATATCGTGGCAATCTGCACAAAATGAACATATGCCAATAAAAAAATGGATTAATTATAGTCCTAAATATCAATGGCAAGAATCAAACAATCCATAACAAAATGAATTTTAAAATGATTGTAGCTATCTGATTGAAACTGAGAAATTATAATCATTCAGATTTTGAAAAAGATAAATATTTCTCTTTCTCTAAGTTAAACCCATCATACTTATTTCTTTGACAACATAAGTTCACAAACATGATTGTAACTTTTAAACAATCAATGTGTTCATTGTTAGGTGTTATTGTTTATCAGGTTTATTTGGGAAGGTATTCAAACTTTAAGTTATATAATCAAAACTCTTTTAATTATTCCATAAACTTGATTGTAGTTTCTATCAATATTAATATCCGATAAATTTTATCCATATACTCCAATTAAATTAATCACAATGATTCAAATGTCCTAAATAGTTTTTTCTAAGCTTATGATCATAATATATTGAGAATATCATTTATAGTAATTGATAAAGGTGAATGGGCGAGACTATAATTTTTGGACGAACCTATCACGTATAAGATAATACATCTTGGATTTTGGCGCGAAGTTCACTCATCAATTTGGCAAATTAGAGTTTTGGCATTATAGCTGATATCAGTTCGTGATAAAAACCCTAAATCTAATTTCTAACCTTAATCATTAACTGCAAATCATAATTCGAATTCCTCACACTGGTTTATAACCCTTATTTGGTACTGGTTAATTAGGTGAACACTCTCAAGGTCATTTTAGCGTCTTTCAAAGGTCGTCCATAAATTATAGTTTCACCGATGAATGGATTATTTTAATCAATAAAAAATGTGATAATTAGAAAAGTTATTTGAATGATCAATGAAAGCTTCACAAATCAAACACTAGACTCAAACAATGTAACTTAATGGTAATGTTACAGTGTAATAAAATGATGATAAAGTAATTGAATTCTTGAATATTTTAAGAGCTTTTATTGTAGGTAGATTTATCGACTATAACTTAATGATGACTTTATAATACGATAAAATATCGTACCCAAACGTTTAGAATATTGTGATCTAAATAAAATTAAAATTTTTGTATGCTTTAAGTAAAGCTCATAGTGTGGCAAACGAAAACACAAGTGGAGACAATCGAATGTGTTTGAACGCAAAGTTACAGAATATCTTAGTAAAATCCGAGAAGCATACATTTGCAAAATGTTAATCAGTTGTCTCAAACTTGATTGTTTCTTCTGCAAAGTGTCAATCGTCTTGTACTTCTTTATTCTTTCGTTTTCAAACCAATCATTCTTTGTCCTCGTTCTCTTTTCTTTGATTTTCTTAACCATCTGCCTCTAAGCATTTCACTTTTGATTGATGATATATGCTACTTATATCTATCGACATCAGTAAAACACACCACAATAGAACACATAGAGATGGATCACGACCATTATATCCTGAATAAAGAAAGTTTAGTCATTTTAATTGAGTAGCTTTCTTGACAAGTTCACTATTTTTAAAGCTTAAGTTAAAATAATTCTGAGGTAAATTAAATGAGGGTGGGACTAATTTTGTGGTGTGGGTTACTTATATCCACACAAGTAGTATATAACGATGGTCAGGCATAGAATGTATTTCAGCAGAAGATCGATATGGAAAAAACGGAAACGGAACGCAATTGATATGAAAACTCATGAACAATGAAATCTGAGACAATGAACTGATACTTACAAAGGAACAGTCAAGTTTGAGACGATGGAATGTTATTTTGCAAGTAAACGATTTACTATATGGTTCTCAGATTTTATTGAGATGCTCTGTAATTTCGTGTCAAATACATTCGATTGTCCTCACTGGTGTTCTTGTTCACTACAATTCCATTAAAAAATCGCTAAATATGTCAAAAAGTCTCTGTCAATATTGATTAAGTTTTCTTATTAGATTGCCAGTGCTTCAGTAAACTGTTATGTGATGTTATGGCCAAAGTAAAATTGTAAACTCATTGAAATTGCATCAAATGAGACTTTTAAAATAAAGAAATGCGTTTTCCAATAAAAATTGGTTCAGTCTTTTTAGATTATCTACGATTAAGTGAATAAAAGTGTAAATTCTCTCTTGTTCAACTTTTGCTCTAGACGTTGGTAGCAAATGATGAAACCTGTCAAAGGTATACACATCAGAAAAGAATATGAAGTGAGTAATACCTGAAATTTCATATAATTCGCTCAATAAGTTATAAAAACACTTTACCACAGAGCTAGAATTTTATACTCATCAATAAAGTCAGAGAAATATTGTGTAATTTTTAATTTCTACCTTCAAGAAAATGGGTGTCCACAAACATTTATAAAGAAGTATAATATTGAACACTATAATACGATAAAGATTGACCAACCGGAAAAGAAATATATTTCTATCTAGTTGACTTTCAAAGGTGATCAAAGACCAAAAGTAGCTTTAAAGTAAAGAAAATTCCTGCTGCGAAAATGTTTCCTCTGTATTCAACACGATGTTCAACAATACAAATAAAAATAAACATCAACAAATATTAGCTTCACATATACTTACAGTATCATATATATTGTAATGATAAAAAGACTAACAGCTATGTTTTTTATTGTTGAGTATATTCCAATGAACTTAAACCTTTTCAGGTTGATAACACGACATTTACTTGAGACAGGATATATAGTGAATACAATGAATCCATTTAAAATAATACAATATCACATTATCTAATCAACATTATATTTATTAACATGAAACTTATTATCATAATATTAACATACTGGAAGAGAATATGACACACAGACAACATGTGATGCATAGTAAAGGGTAATTGAGTAGTACACATGGTATAGTGCATGATGTTTAGCAATTTTAACGGTATATTACATTAAACATTACATATTTCAATTGTTTTGCTCTAATTAACTGACAATATTGTGAAATTAAATTTTCTTTCAGTAGTTTATTAGTGGTAGGAAAAAAAAGTGGAATTGTAGTGAAGTACGAGACTAGTTTTTGTGATTAAACATTTTGTGATGATACATTTATTTCTTAGGGATTTATTGACGTATTTATTCGGAATGTAGGATATTTTAATAAAATCTGCATTGAATTCATTTAAGAATGAAGTATTATACTTTTCTCTTCCATACTTACAAGGTTCAATTCATTTTGTATTAGTTGTCTAAATCTTCCTATTGATGTCTAGGCCTGTTATTGATCAGTCTTATATTGGCATATGTACATCTTATGAGGATTGCTTCGATATTGCCTGGATTCCATGGCTTGTCACAAACTATCTCTGCTTATATTGCTTGTTTGAAGCAAACGGTACTGGGTTCGAGTGCCAGAGTGAACACCAACTCTGGGATGTAGGTGCATCCAGCCAACGACTCCCAAATACAACAAAACACACGTTCTGGATTCCATTTCTAGACACCGTCTTTCTCTGCTTATAATTACAAAGTTCAAGTTATATTTTCTGCTAGACTAATACTTATGTTTTAAAA